GAATTTCTCTTTTTCTAAAAATGGACCCTTACTAATACAAGTGCACTATATGATGCATGTATTTATATTATATTTGTATATTATAATAATGTTATATTATTATAATTGTATTATATATGTGGATCTTAATAACACAACTGTAGGCGAGCTGATGCAGTGGCCAATTAAATAGCCCATGAGATTATTTCTTTCAAGAATTTCCATAAGAGGCTCAGAAAGAGGTTTGGGAGCCAACAGAGAATATAGACTAGAAAGAAAACCCAGACAACTTGTCTACCTAAATCCTAAATGTCTGTATCACTTTTGTTCTCTTTTCTCTCATTCTCTGTCTCTGTCTGTCTCTGTCTCTCTCTCTGCTAGGGATTGAATTCCCTACCACAGAACTATACTGTCAGCCTCCCAGGAGCTTTTGTCTTTCATGAAATTTGTATCATTTATAATTTATTCTCAATTATATAAACTAAATAATTAAGATTTCTGTTACTTACAATAATCTTAACCAAGACATTATATTATCTGATTACTCAGAACAAATATAACTTACTTTTTTGTTATTTCTAATGAGTTGGAACTATAGTAGACTGCAGCACTTAATTATTAATCTGTTATCTATGTAATAATGGGTCCACCAATCCAGGAACAGAAAATATTTTTCTATGGAAGACTATGAACCATTTTTGTTGGGCAGGAGGTCAGAGAGCCAAATAAGGGCCTTAAAAAAAAACTATTTAGTTTAGGGACTTTAAAATATCTCTTAAGGAGAAATTTAAAATGTTGATGCTGCTTGCTTTTAAAATTAAGTTCAGAGAACATAAGTCAAACCACTTTGAAACATTAACTCATATGAGTGCTTTGCATGGGTAGAGGAGAGACTGAAGGGAGCCAGAAGGATAAGGGAAGATATGCTAAAAGGAAATGAGAGAGAGAGAGAGAGAGAGGGAGGGAATGTTAGAATAAAAATGAGGCAAAGACAGAGGGTGGGAGTAAACCATAAGTAGAGACAGGCAGAGAGCTGAGATAAAGGAAAAAGAAAAGTAAGCTGAAGAAGGGATAAGATACATAGTGAAGAGAAAGATATACAAGCGGAGCTAGAGGAAAGGTGATGAAGGGGCATGCAGAGGACTAGGGAGAAAATCGGTAGATTAAGTGGTATTAGTTAGTACCCATCCCCAGATTTCTTCTGGGGGTAGGCAGGAGGAAGGCTATCTCTGATACAGCACTTATTGCCTACTTGTCTTTTGCTAACTTAAGTTAGCTGTCTAATGTCTACAGGGCTTCCATTGCTCCAAACCTTAAATGTTTAGTGGCTCTGCTCAAAAAAATGTGACTAAAATAACTCATCTTGGGAGCTTTTCCTAAATAATATTCCTTAGAAGATTAGTTATCATAGATTTTCATATTTTGAAAATAGTTCCTCAAATAAAGGAAATTTATTGTGAAATGCTAGTTTAATCAATGTTTAATAGGTTCTCTTGCTACAATACTTCTTAGAGCTTTTGATATGAATTTCTAAGGGACACTATGTGAAATACAGAGATTTCCAAACTTATATGGTCACAAAACTCATTTTTTAAAAAGAATACTCACAAGCACAAGGTCCTGAGTTCGATCCCCAGTACCAAAAAAATTTTTTTTAAAAAGACTCATAGGAGAGCATTGCTGAAGGAAGGTATTATTCTCTGAATGTTATAACCTCTGAGCTTTGTAACCAGTGGCTATAACTACAACACTTCACGGGCCAGAAAATGTGAAAAAAAAAAAAAGGTCCAAATCTGGCTTAAAACCTAGAGGTTTGTTATTCCTACAACCAATATTGTCACTTCCTTATCTTCCTTTATGTATTGGTCCATTTTCTGTTACTATAATAAAATATCTGAGGCTGGATACTTTATAAAGAAGTTTTATTAGCTCACAGTTTTAAAGGCCTACAGTCTACACAGTATGGCTTTGGCTCTGGTGAGGGGCCCTTTGTGGATGGCATCATGGTGGGAGCTTATGTGAGAGGAAGAGATGACAAGGCAAGACAGGAAGCCAGAAAGCAGGGAGGTGCCAGGCTCATTCACTTATAACAACCCACTCTTGCGGAATTACTGAATCCATTCTGAGGGTGACACTCCCAATGAGCTCATCACCTTACTCTCGGCCCCAGCTCTTAAAGATCCTACCACCTAATACTACCAAGCTTCTAATACATGGGCTCTTAGGGTACAAACTACACCCAAACCACAGTACTTTATATTTATATTACTTGAAATGCTTTTTAAGAGTTCAATATTTATAGTTTTACAATTAATGCTCTGCATATTAATTCTGTATTAAACATTATTCTTATTTCCTTTACTGCTAAGCCTCTCCCATGATGATGATTACCAAAGTGGTGAATGCTAATTTTATCCTAATATTCACAATGCCAAATTTATCTTCCATACCTCTGGGCACATGGATGCCCGGTCTGTGTGATCTTATAACTAAGTTCTCCCCAGTGAATATCAGCGTAAACAATCTCTATCATGTTGGTCTCATTTGCTTTAAAGGAACATTGTGCCAGGTGTGGTGGTGCACACCTGTAATCCCAGCACTTGGGAGGCCAAGGTAGAAGGACTGCCATGAGTTTGACGTCAGCCTGGGCTAAACATGAGTTCAAAGCCAGCCTGAACTGTATAGTGAGGCCTTGTCTCAAAAAAAAAAGGAACACTGCTTGCTTTAGCTCTCTTTTCCTCCTTTATTGAGCTGACACAAGTGTGCCAACTCATTCTTTGTCCACACAGATGATGAAAATATCCTAGGGACGAAGGGAAATTGGAAGGTACCTGAATGATGGCCTGGGGCAGAACTCTTCCACCTTGAGACTATTATACAGAAAAGAAATAAATTTCTAACTTTAATGAAGGCACTGTAATTCTGAGATTCTTTAATAGAGAAATTTAACAGTTTTTCTCATTAAAACTTTGGCTAATAATAAAAACTTAATATTTGAAGGTTATATTACTCTTAACACAACATGCTCATGTGTGTTACGGAATGTTCACATATACATTGTTTCTAAACTTTTTTCATTTTGACTTTATTCCTTTTTATGTTATGCAAGTAGTTATCATTTACTAGAATTTTAATCTAAATACTGAAAACTATGGCTAATAATAATTAATCAGCAGCAAACTTTTATTGTTCTGTAGCTAATGTATTTGTTTATGCTTTCAAGCTACCCTACGAGTTGTCTAAAGTAGGTTCTTTTTGTTAGAATTTTGGTGTAATCACCAGTAAACTTCCAAATACAGTATTTTTTCAAATTTCTCATGGTATGATTATGAGTAATGTCAGGAATATATGTCCAGCTACTGTTCTATGAAAAAAATGTGCAAAGATATCTATTATTCAAAATAAGTATTGCATTTTCTAGGAGGAAGATACAGAATGATTTAACAGTAATCATTTTTATGGCAAAACATTCTGTTAAATGGTAGAAAAGCAAGTATTTGGATATAGCTACTGAAATATGTATTTATTTATGAATATATCTCTGGTAAAGAGCCAAACAAAATAAAATATAACTCACTGTCCGTAAACATTCCCTAAATGTCCTTTCATTATTATGGGAGAGTTATTGTGTGGTTTTAATAATGTATACAAAATGAATTACATTTACACTTTTCTCAAAGGCATTAGAACAATTATCTATTTAGTAAAGGTCTTAAAGTCTAACAAATTAATTATCTTTGTCAATAAGTTGAGGAGCTACTTGTAAATAACTAATAAACACAGTAAGATTTTATTACCTATGTTTCTTACAATTCCAGCATTTGCTACAAGTTTAAGGCATAAAGAATATGTTTTTACTGTTCTATTCACTTTAAGGGTTACACCAAGAGCTATTAGTAAATGCCTTTTTTCTAGCCCTGAAGTATCTCAAAAGTTCATCTCTGAGATCACAAGTGAAAGAATTTGCAATCAATAGAGTAATAAAACTGGAAGGAATCTTAAGAGATTATAATGATGCCTTCGTTTTACAGATGAGGAATGAAAACTTTGAAAAACTATTTTAATTAAAGGACGCTTCTTGAAAAAGGAAAAAAATTACTTCATGGAATTTTCAGTGTTGTACAAATCAAATCAGTAACTTTTAACACCTTTCTAAACGCTAGCTTTATCAGTTTTCCACTTCATACAGAAGAAAACTAATGCATAAGCAAGCTAAGCAGTTCCCTTATTATCTCTATGAATCAGTGTCATAGCTGGGAATGCAAGCCAAAACTTTGAATGTTGGACGTCCTCACAGATGTAGGCTGATCTCATTCAGAATGGATGCTGGCTGGGGGCTAGGGGAAGCCATGTTTGGGAAGTCCCCTCATGGAGCACGGTATTTCACAAGCAGAGTACTCGCTGACAAATGCAAAATACTTGCTTAAATGAGTCCTGATAATGTGATCTTTAAGAAACAAAACACCACAATATATCAGCCTTTTTACCTTCCTCTAAAATAGTGTCCTCGAATCCTACAAATTGAAAATGTACTTTTAATCTGGTCCAATCTCAATACTCAGGAAATGCATAGAATTTCTTTACTTTTTCTTTACACAAGTCGCCTTTGTGAATCCTTCAGGTTCCCACTGAACACTTAGAATGAGACTATTTATCTATGTCCTTTCTTTACTTAGAAATGTATTTTTTGTTCTGTTATCACAATGGAACGTTAAATAGTAATCCTAAGTGAAACAAGGGAAAAGTTCCTGCGATTCTTTTTTTTTCCATCAACGCATCAATGATGACAAACTTCTAGACATCTTAACCTGTTCAAGACACACACACACACACACACACACACACACTCGCACAGTACAACCTCAGCTGTCCAGCGACCCTGACGTTGCATCTATGCAACACCCATCCCCACGGGTCAAGGCCGGGTATTTTCTGATGACCACATTCAGTGCTGTGAGGTGTTCAACCCATTACCGCATCCGTCACCCTGTGAACACTGCCCAATAAGCTCATGCGGTAACCTGGGTTGGAGCTCTTAACTGCTGCGAAGCGAAAGGATCAATCACGAATCTGGGAACCCACTTCGCAGTTCTCCCGGGCCGCACAGAGGGGGAGCCGCCTGGTCAGGGCAGGAAAGGGGGCGCTTGCAGGCGGGGTGGTCGGGTCAGGGTGTGCGCAGCCAGGAAAGCCGAGTTTGGCAAGAAGGAAGGCAACTGCGGGCGGAAGGGGACGGAAATAGGAGCAGAGGCAGGGAGAGTTGGGGCGCAGGGCAGCGGCGGGGCAAGCCTGGTTCAGGCAGGAAAGGAGAGAAGCCAAGGGAGCACAGGAAATGGGCGCCAAAGAAAGAAGTGAGAAATTGCGGAGGAGGAAGTCGTCCCTGGAAGAGGAGGGGCAAAGAGGAAGCCAGAACCGAGTGTTTGCACTTTCGAGAGGGAAGGGCAGAGCCTCTCCCGGCGGGGCCGGGGCGGGGGCGCGGGCGGTCCCGGCGCGGGCGGCCCTACCTGAACCGCTCCTGCCCCGCAGTGTCCCAGAGCTGCAGCTTGATCCTCTTGCCCGGCTCGATCTCCAGCAGGCGGGAGAAGAAGTCCACGCCGACCGTGGGGTCGCAGGCGGGGGAGCGCAGCCCGGGGAAGCGGCCCTGGGTGAAGCGGTGCAGCAGACAAGACTTGCCCACCGTGGAGTCCCCGATCACGATGAGGCGGAACTGGTAGATCCAGATGGTCTCCATCGCTCACGTGGCCCGCGCTCCCGGGCCGCCCCACCCGCCCTCTGAGGGGGAAGTTTAGCGGCGGGAACTGTCCCTTCAGCACCTCCCGGGTGCCCGCCCGCCGCCTTCCAGTATATTTCTGCGGCTGAGGCTGCCGCCTGGGCCCCGCCTTCTCGGGCGGTGGGGCGGGGCCCGGCCGGGTTGGGGGCGGGGCGGGGCCGGGGCAGGGCTCGCGGCGCCCGGGCAGGGGAACAGGCTTGCAGAGCGCGAACTCCCGCCCTCCGAGCACTGTAAATCGCTCTATCCTGAAGCTCACTGGGAAAGAGGGTGTGGCGAAGGGATGTGACAGAAGCAGCAGCCAATGAAAACGAATCAAGGTCTCAACTCCAGGAGAGTTAGCTAATGAAAAGTGAGTCATTTCCTTCTAGGCGTCCTGGCGGGCTTGTCAGATTAGGGCCCTGATTTGGGGTAGAAGGAGCGGAATGTAGCTATAAGCCAACAGCAGAAATTGAAGCAGGATATATCATGTATACGTGCAAATTCCCTACGATGAGCGTTATCATTATGTATATCTAAAATGTGCCAGTGTTTTGCTTCAAAAAAAGAAATTGAGGACTCTAGCCCAAGGAAAGGTTTGAATAAGAGGTCAGAGGCATACCTTGTTTAGGTAATGTTAACCAGAAGAAAAGGTGTAGGGATTTTTATAAAGTCCTTGGCCTCAGGTGTCCTTACAAGGATAGTAAGGTAGGTTAGACACCACCGTTAGTTTGATTGGTATAGAATAAAAGCTTCATCTATCTTGGACTCTTCCTTTGGCATTTCTAGTCCATCCCTAAGCTTTGTTTGTGGAGATGGGATCTCACATATTGCTCAGGCTGTCCTCAAACCCCTGTGCTCAAGTGATCCTCCCACCTTAGCCTCCTGAGTAGCTGGGACTATAGGTAAAGACCATCAAACCCGGCAGCCTCTTTTCTTTTAATCTCACAAATATCTTTCAGATTCATGGCTTTTTCTTAACACTCCGCTGTCACTGTTTTTGTTCTATTCTTTATTACTTTAGATTGCATTGCTCAATAGCCTCTGTGTTAGTTTCCTAATGCTGCCATAGCAAAGTATGAAGCAAAGGCACAAAAGTGGCATACAATTATAGAAATTTAGTTTTACATTTGGAGGCTGTAAGTGCAAAATATGTCAACAGAGTTGGTTTCTTCTGAGAGCGGTGGAGAGAATGTGTTCCATGCATCCTAGCTTCTGGAGTTTTGCTGGCAGTCTTGGTGTTGCTTGGCTTGTACAGTATTGCTCCAATCCTCTGCCTCCAGTGGCTCTAGGCCCCTCTACACAGGCCTCCCTCTGGTCATGTCTCTGTGTGTCCACATCTCCCCTTCTTATAAGGACATCAATCACATTGGGTTAGGGTCCACCCAGTAAATCGCATCTTAACTTGATACATATGTAAAGACTGTTCCCAATTAAGGTCACATTTTGAAGGGTTAGGATTTAAACATATCTTTTTAAGGAGGACACAAGTCAACCCATAAAAGCCTACTACTTAGTTTCTACACTGCTTCCAAAATTACTTTATTAAATATCTTTGATGACTCTTCATTTGTCTGCTCTAAAGGTAAAGTTTACAAACCTAATTGTGTCATCTATGACCAATCATATTACACCTATGATCTATCTAGTAAGGGGATTTTTCTTCATGTTACACTTTTAAAAAAATTTTTTTTCCATGCTGTTCTCTCCTCTCCTTATATCCCTTTTACTCTTTATTTGGTTAGAAAATTTCTATTTAAGACCCAGAACAAATATTATCTCCCCTTTGTACTCTCTCTGAACCATCTATAGCCCCAGGAGGACTGATTTCTCCCTCATTTGTGTTGTTGTAGTTAAGCAAAGTGTATTCTGTACTCTTATGCTATGTCTTTATATATCATATTTCTCATACTGAACTATGGCTATTGATTTGACTATCTCTCCTGTTAAGATTGTAAATTCCTGAAAGCCAGAAGGACTTATTCATTCTTTGTATTTTCCAATCACACACACAACTAATACCTCTAAGATGCACTATAAATACTCACTGAGGACTGGGATTTAGCTCAGTGGCCCCGAGCCTGCCTGGCAAGCACAAGGTCCTGATTTCAGTTCTTGGTACTGAAAAAAAAATATTCATTGAGTTGAAACAAATAGGTTGAACATAATTATGTGTTAACTTCAAGCCCAATATGTGTGCAAGGTGCACACATCTTGTGAGGTTCATGGTGAGCTAAAATTTGATCAATTTTATGATCACTGACATTTATCTTTGAATAATCATGACTTTAATTTTAATTAAAATATATTTGTGCTTAATAGACTTAGCTTAGAAAATAAAACAAGTAGGTAGGGCACTTTTTTTTTTTAAAGTGTTCTTGAGAAAGGGTCTTGCTACAGTCCAGGCTGGCCTTAAACTTAATGTGTATAGCCCAGGCTGGTCTTGATCTTGCAGTAGTATTCCTGCCTCAGCCTTCCGAGTGTTGGGATTATAGGTGTGTGACACCACGCCCATTTTAGGGCACATTTTAGAAAGGTATTTAAACTTTTGCTCAAGAAATTCAGTTTTAATGGATTTTTTTTTTTGCTAGAAAGGAGGACCTTGCTTCTCATTGCTGTGCAGAAGACCTGAATAAGGACTCAAGTGACCTAGATTCTTGTCCCAGCATTGCCACTAATTTTGATGAACTTCTGAAAAATCATTTGCTCTCTCAGTCTCTGTTTTTTCCTCTGAACACTGAGATGATAGGGCTATATCAGTGTTTTTCAAACTGAAAACAATTTGAAATGAAGCAAAACATCAAAGTACATCACACATAATAGGATGTTTGTTTCATAAAATATTTCTTTCAGTGATATGTGTGTATACATGAATGAGTATGTATGTACCCGTGTGTGTGCTAGGTCAAGAGGTAAAATTAACTTCTCTTGGATCAAAGTAAAAAAGGTTCAACAACCAGTCAGCCAGATAATCTCAAATTCATGTAAGACATGCTTTATGTTCTTAATGTGGGTGCTGTGATTAACAAGTGAGAAAACATCAGTGAGAATCTGCTCCTCTCTCAGGCTTCATCAACCTTAGTAAATAAAAATATCTTCTTCTAGTTTGTCAGTCTTAACGCCATTCTTTCTTATTTCCCCATAAGTATTCCAATTCTGTAGCCTGTATAATCAAAACATATCCAGAATATAACAATTTCTCTCACTACCTTCACCTTTGCCACCATGATCCAAGCTACTATCTATCATTTCTACTCTTTTGATTGTAATAGTCTAAGTAGGCCTTGTCCTGCTATTATACTACTGTTTTGAACGTAGCAGTGAGGATGAGTCTGTGAAAATTTAAGTCAGATCACATTCTTTGTTCAAGAACCTCTAATGGCTTATTACCTTACAATGAAAGCCAAAGTCCTCATTACCTCTTGGGTCTCATTTTCTACCTTCCCTTGACTGTCTGCACAGCAATGATGTTGTCTTCCTTCATGTGCCTAAAATATGCCAGGAGGCTGCCACCTCCGAGCCTTTGCATTTGCTGTGTCCTCTGGAATGACTCTGTCCCTTCATCATCTCATGGCTTTTTCCTTTACCTCATTCAGACTTCACTTCAATATCCCCATGAAGCCTTTCCTTCCTACTCTATGTAAAATTGCACTCCCCTGCCCTTCTCTGCTTAGTTTTCTCCTTAGCACTTATCACCATGTAACATAATATATATTTTCCTTATTGATTCTGTTTATTGTCTGTCTTCCCCAAGGTAATGTGAGCTCCATGAGAGTAGGCATATTTTTTGGTCTGTTTATTTAGTTATGTCTAAATAACTTGCACAATATCTGGGTTATAGTAGACACACAATAAGTATTTGTTTTACAAATTTAAAGTTTCCATAAGTTTCTCTGTAGAAGACAAAATCAGGATAACTGATGATAATTTTATAGGTTGGCTCATATGTTCATGTCATTCTCACTACTTTACAAAATTAATTATTTTCTGAGTAGGACAGGCTATCAGAAGTAAATCAGAAGCCAGTACCAGGAACATAGATTATTAAAGGCTTTTATTAATGTTCAATTTCCTGAAAAAAAAAAGTGAATCAGAAAAGCTGGGCATGGTGGCACAAACCTGTAATCCCAGCACTTGGGAGGCTGAGGCAAGAAGATTGCCTTAAATTTGAGGCCAGTCTGGGCTACATAATGAGTTCAAGTCCAGCTTGGACTACTTAGCAAGACTGTGTCTCAAAAAAAAAAAAAAAGTGAATCAGAAAGTATAACATGAATGAGAAATCAACTTACACTTTAAGAATGCAATAATAGTTTTTGAACCTGTGTTGCCGTTATTTTATTTTATTTTCAGTGAGGGGCATCTAGGTAGTGAAATTTTCTCTATATACTCTTCTACATTTAAAAATTAAGACTGCAGAGCCATTGCTTTAATGAGGCCTTTGTAATCTCTGAGCTGGGCTAATGTCCAATTTCATTCCCCAATTTCAATTCAATGAGTCCATATAAACATCCAGGTGTTTAAATCTGTACAAATATGGGAAAAGGGTGGATTTTGAGTTGACTGCCAAAATATCATAAATAACTATAATGACTCCCAAAAATATCTTAAATAACTAGCTTATATGATCAGGTAGACTGGAGCTTCAAGATTAAGACTTAATTGAGTCACAGAAACATGTAATTACAGTTTGGAGGCAGTAGATTGATGATCTCTTGCCTAATACAAAAGGAAAAAATTATCCAAATGACAGCTGACATGTAAGAGTGATTTAAATTATGTGCACATTTCAACAAACTATGCACATTCATTCAGACTTGAGATGCATGTGAATCTCAACTTTTGTGAGAACTCTGTGTGCAAATGGTAAGTGAATAATCTTTACTATAGGATGCTGCACTTTTTCATGTTCTCTGGAATGCTATTTCTAATATCAGCTGCTTATAGTCTTATAATAGTGTCTGTGTCTACTGCTTCAGAAGTCATTCAGGATGATGATATTTTGGTCAATTTTACTTGTGTACATCTTGCAAACTCCTCTCTTTGCCTTCGGCAGTACTCTTGCCTTGATTTTGATTTCCATCATCTGTTGCTAGTTATTACAA